AACGCCTATCATTAAACAAAGCTCCAAAAACTTTTAAAAACTTAACAACAGAGTAGAAAGAATGACAAAATAACCGTGAAAACATTTCACAAGTGAAAAACAAGAACTTAATCAACCCACCTTCTTGCTCAGCAGTTTATCGTGCTCATCTGGAAATGAAACTGATATAGGCCGTGAAACCCCCAAATACTTAGTAACATCGCCCGAGCCATTAGCCATCGTGTGATCAAAAAAATCCAGAAAATATAGGAATAAAAATTTCAACAATAGCCGGGAAATGAGGTCCCCGACTAACGGAAAACAATTTTGAAAATATCTGCAAAATACTATACCTTCAACCTCATTGCATGAAATAAAAATCATTCATAATTACAAAAAAATTAACATGAAATATCGAATAGCCGTATATCACTAAACTTCATAACAAAAATGGCAATACTGCTAAAAGAATTTTCCAGAGGCTTTGTTTCTTCACCATATCCCCCGCAAAGAAGACCTTTATCACAAAGCTACACAACGTCTTTCCAAAATTTAAAACTGAAGAAATGATTGCAGCAAAAGCCAAAAAGGATCACATACAAGATATTATTAACAAATAAAGTCTGAAAACTAATATGAGTCACTGCAATCAATACTACTTAGCAGTAAAACAAATCACAATAAAACCTTACAGAAACATAAAAGAAAGTGTCCGCTGCACGAAACTTTGAGGACACACACGTTTTTTTAACAATAAGCTGCAAGTAAAAGAGAAAAAAAACTATAAACGGTGACAAAAAAAAAAAAGTAGACGAATGAGACCTCCTAGAACACCAAATTAAAAATAAATTATAGAAGTTACAGTGCAGTCAAACAGGTGCTAATTTTCCTTAAGTAACATCCCAATTATTAGACCAACGTCCCTCCGTAACAGTAATATAACAGCGAAAAAAAAATAAAAATAAAAATAAAAATAAAAACCATATAAAAAACTTTCACAATTTGACCAACACAACCGTGAAGCCATACTATCTATCACCTGATAAAACTAACTATCAAGATAAGCAGACAAACAAAGAAATGTAGATACTTATTAACGCCGGCGTGAGCTGCATTCAACTTCAGTTAGATGACCATTAGCCAACTTGATATTGACAAAAAAAAAAAAAAA